GTGCGGTGTTCTTCCCCCTCCCTTGAAAAACCAAGTCAAAATACAAAGTACCGACACCTCCCTTTTGTGGTTCCTGCACTTCTTGATGGCCGACGAATTGAGTGTCACAGGGCGGAAGCACCAACGCGCCCCAACACAACCGATGCAGCAGCTCCTGCCTCCTGACGTCTCCGCTTTAACCACTTTCGCTTCCGAGGCCCCAGTTCAACCGCCGCAGCAGAATGATGGTGTTGTGCGTCCTGCCGCATCTAGCACTTCAGGACTGCCTCTCGGTCGCCGCATGCGTCTGACCCTCGGTCAGAAACGCGAGGTGGTCGACCTCGCAGCAAGCAAGAAATTCACGCACCGCGAGTTGGCTGAGAAGTTTCGTGTGGGGCGCACTACGATCACCAATATCTGCAGACAGGAAGACCTTATCCGCACGGAGACGGACTCGGCTGACGCTACAAAGAAGAAGAGGAAGACGACAAAATGCACTTACGATCTGCGAGTGCTGGATGAGTGTCTGCACAAGTGGAGAATGGAGGTGAAGGTTTCTAGCCCTGATACTAAGCTCACAGGCACCGTATTGCAGCATAAGGCCATGGAATTGGCCTGTAAGATCGTTCAAGAGCCCTATGCGGCGTTGCCAGACAAGGTGAAGCAGGCACTACAGAAGTTTACAGGCTCTAATGGATGGCTGGACGGATACAGGACCAGATTCGGCTCATTCAGCAGCAAACAGCTCCCTGGTGGAGGAAGATCAGAAGTGTTAATTAAGAGCGGGGGACTTCCAAACGAGACTTCCAAGAGCTGCATTCTTGGCGTTTAAGAGTGGTGGATCTGGGAGATATTGTGGGAGCGGAAAGTGAGTTTGGGCATTCATGTACAAACCACACTTGGTGAAGTCGGTGAGTGGTGCTGGAGCCAACACTGGCAGGTATACAGTCTCGCTATTCGTGAGTGCTGCTGGAGAGAAGCACGATCTGCAAGTCATTGGTACGGACCGAAGCCCTTTGCTTTTGGCAGGTATCGACACCAAGGAGACTTATAATATCCAGTACGGATACTCCAAGACTGGCTGGCAGGTGGCACAGACGACCGTCAGCATGCTCAAGTCGTTGAATGCACTTGCTAAGGAGCGTAAACGCACGTTCCGAGTGCTTTTGGACTCGGCTGTGCCTCACGTTAAGGCTGCTATGATTTTGGATTCTCAGGGCGACCAACGCACATTCTTCGTG